AAAAAAAAAAAAAAAAAGGGAAAAAGATTTAATTTTTGGATTGGGTAAATGAATGAGGGAGAAATTTTTGAAAGATGACAATCAAAAGGATAGATGGATGGATGGAGACATTTAGCGCAGTTCGCTTTTGGTTCAATTTTATTAGGTGCAATAAGAAAGGTGAAGAAAAGAAGAAGGGTCAAATCGATCCCATTAAAAGGACTAATAAATCATTCATCAAAATGCTACAAGGACGAAAAGAGGAATATGGAAGGAGGAGGTATTTTAATCATTGTCGTATTTTACAACATCAATCAATCGATTGATCGATTCAAAATCGATCGATTGATTGATTGATTGATTGGTTGATTGATCAATTGATGAATTTTATCAAAAAAAGGAAGATTTATTCTACTTTTTTTGTTTTTAGTACTAATAAGATATTATATTAAAATGCTTGAATGCATTAAAAAGGATTAATTATATCTAATATAATAAGCAATCTAAAATATTATTAGCTATTAATTAGCTATGATAATTATAGTATTACAAAAGAAAAAAAAGCAAGAAGTGGAAAAAAAATATTTTATAGAAAAAAATACATAAAAAAAATAAAATAATAAATTTAAATTTCATTCATTAATATAATCAATTAAATATTATTTTTAATGAAAAGTTAATTTTAGACTTTGTAAATTTTCAAATTTCGATTTTATATTTTAATATATTTTACAATAATGATATATACATATATCAGTTCCGACAAAAATTGTGGAATTCTTTTCTTTTTCTTTTTTTTTTCTTCTCATACACCAACAAATGTCTCCAATTTATAGCAATAAAGATCAAAAGATACGATAGAATGAATCGATTCTAAGTGCAATTGGAATTATTTTGTATATGATATTAGAATTATTCCGGAATAAAATGAAATAGAAGAAAAATAGAATGGAATAGAATAAAATCATTGTTCCGGAATTCTTTTTTCGATATCCGTAATGAACTCAATTTCATAAATTACAACAAAAAAAAAAAA